AAACGTCAGCCTTTCTGCTCCTATGATGCTGCTTGGCCTGCTGTGTTCATCAAGCCCTGCACCTTGTTGTCTCACATTCCTCAGTGACTGCCTCCGGCTCAGACTCACGCCACATGGATTCCAACTGAAGTTTCATCCCTCATGATTGAATCCTCCCAGGATCACATATATCTCCGTGATGTTCAACGTTGCATGGACAGCTGTTCTCTCCGCATCCTGAGATCCATACTTAGTGCCATGTGGTGCCACATGCACACTCTCAACCTTTCTCTCCGACAGCTTCGCAACACATTGGCTCAGGGCTGCACCACTCCGCAGTTCCACTTCATCCTCTGGCTCATTCGTCGTGCTAATAAGAAACTTTTTCTTGTCCTTTGAGGCATCAAGTCCCACAAGATGCAACAACTCAGAGATACCCATGGCTCTCTGGAACCTTCCTCTCCTCCCCTTCCCTCTGACTCCATCCCTTCCCCCGACCCCAGCTCCTGTCGGATATTCACCATTCTTCCTAACCTTCCGCTCTCCGATGCTGAACGTTCTGTACTCAGCAAAGGCCTCAGATTTATTCTCTGCGTTCCCACCTTAATGAATTTCAGGCACAACATGATGTCAAACTGTCTTCGCCTCTGTGCCCATTTCTTTGGATTAGAGTCCTCTCCCCATCCCACAGACCCCTTTACCCCGATCCAACACTCTCCCTCCACCTGGACCCCTCCCTCTGCCTTTTACCTGCATTCAGTCTGTTCATTGAGGACTGTTGGCATGATATTGGTTGCCTCAATTTCTCTGCACCCCCCTCACCAAATCCAACCTATCTCCCTCCAAACTGACTGCACTCCGTGCACATAAATCTAACCCTGACTTTGTTATTAAGCCTGCCGATAAGGGTGGTGCTGTTGTAGTCTGGTACACTGACCTCAACACTGCAGAGGCTGAGCGCCAGCTCTAAGATACCTCCTCTTATTTTCCCCTGGACCTCTATCCTATCGTTTACTCCCCACCCCATCCCCCTCCCTATTTTCTGCATATAATTCCAAATTGTGTTGCTCTTTCTGTTAACCCCATTAGCTTTGAGATCCCCACATTCCCATTTAACCCTTTCATTTGACAATTAATATTCCCTATTTCCTGCCTCAGACTCTATTGCTGTGTCCACGATTGTTAACTATTGTTTTCCCATTGAAACCAAGCTGGTGGTGAGTCACAGAAAGTGCCTCTCCCTCCTGTGTAGTATCAGATCCCACCCTTACATTTGGAGTTGACCCCCTCCCCCACTTCACTCTTATTATTCCATCAGTCAGAAGTCACACAACACCAGGTTATAGTCCAACGGGTTTATTTGATATCACAAGCTTTCAGAGCGCTGTTCCTTCATCAGGTGAAGTCTTCATGTCACTGGTGTTGTGCGACTTCTGACTTTGTCCACCCCAGTCCAAAACCAGCACGTCCACATCATGTATTCCATCAGTGACACGGTATCATTCAGTCCATTCCCAGATCTGAATTTTGCACTTGTCATTACAACGTATGGACTACCCTCTGATTAACCTTGTGATGTTCACCGGCCCAAACACCCCCACTCCCCCCAGGCTGACCGTGGCCAATCCATGGACTGACTCCTTAGCGCAGCCCCATCTGAGCCCGGCCCAGTTCCCTGACTGATGTCTCCACAGTTCCCTGATTGCTTACCAGTAAGCCCAGAACTGGTGGGACTTGACCTGCAAGACCAACCATAGCTCCAATCCTGGGGTGGAAGGCATAGATACCCAGACCCTGATTGCCCCAAGTGCCTGACAGACCATGGCCAACCCCTTGGACTGAGATCAGATGATGTCCTTGACTAAGTGGGGTGAACAGAGGGTGATCACTGTGGAAGCAAACTGATAGCCATAACTTATGTCTTGTGCAAATGCATGAGACAGGTGTGCGTTCCAGTGTGCAGGGTGACCTGGCAAGAGGATTACAATGTAAGGTGCCCGTGAGCTCTAAAAGGCAGCGATGAATTACTGAAGGGAGATAAAGTTAGATCTAAATCAGCCATGATGATGTGGTGAGGCTGATGTTTTGATGATGCTCACTTCGGGTGCATGAAAGGTGGGGGCAGTCACTGTCCCATGGACCATGCAATAAGATGTTGATGAATGGACCTAAAGATAAAGGTCAAAAAAAGCAACCAGCAAGCTTCATCTCCCAGGTAGTTGTTCTGACCTTCCTGCTAGGAATTGGACTTGGAATTAGCCTTATTGTCACATGTACTCAAATGAGTATAGTGAAAAGTGTACAAGTCATCACTTATGGTGCCATCTCAGGTACAAAGATGCCTGGGTACAGATTCTTCAGTACAAATTCTTAGGGGAAAACCAATTAGAAAAATAAAGAAATAAAAAATCCAGCATTACAGTTCATAGGAATAAATTAGAAAACTGGAGAAATAAAAAGTTCATAATAATATCTTCTAGCACCTTCTAATTTCTCAACTGTGCATAGGAGAAATGCAAACTTCATATATATGAGGTGTGATTAATCAATAATGAGGTACTAATGCACAGAAATAAGAAACTTCTTTCCTACAAGGGAGATTCTTATCTAACCATTGAAACTTAAGGGGAAAATCAGATATTTTCTTTTCAAAGTCAAAAATCAGACCTTTTTCATTCTACCATCTTTTC